AATTCATGGTTTTTGTTTCTGTGGTCAGCATTTTAAGCACCAATCATGAATTAATAAACAACCCTGGCTCCAGCTTCTTCACAGTACAGGTCTTCCTACCATATCTAAATGAATGAGGAGACATAATAAGAGATGCATAATGTTACCTGTACTGTGAACGTGGCCAAATGCCCCATCCAATATGTGAACATTAGAACTGAGTGAATAATTCACAGCAAATAATTTGGTTGAACAATTTCTCACCTTTCTGCTTGAGTGTGTGAGAGCAGATTGTGGTTTTCTCAAATTCCCTTGACACTTTTTTGAAGTTCTATGCACTGATCATGAGCAAATGAAAAAGTCTTGATATTTCACTGCTGACATTTGAGTTGTCCTGCTTAGGTTTAATTGGTCAGATAATTCTGAACCTGATTAAATGAATAGGCAAATACTTCCCATATAAATATTCTTGTAAGTTAAAATAATTTAACCTTGAATGGCATGAGGCATATCAGCTACAGCAGTGCAACAAAATGTTTGAAAATAATCCATTTAATCTGTTTGGAAGTGAAAACCCAGAAAGCAGATAGTTTATTACAAAGACACCATAACCTTAAAAATCACCCTTCTATCACAAAATTCTGTATTTCTCATTGTTACAATTAAAACCAAAAATTACTATAACAGAAAGATCATAGAAATTTTTTTTCTTTATTTTCAGTGTGACTACTCTGTGCATTTGATAGCTCCATGTGGATAATCAATTATATTTTTCCCCTAGTCAAGTCCTTCTCTTTCTTTAGGTGGCTTGTCCACACTGCAGTAGCAGCAAGGAACAGAAAGAGGGGAAAAGCACTTCAAAAAATTAGGATTCTGTAATTGTAAAATAGAAAGAAAAATGCCAGGAACCATTTTACTACTACTTGAATATATATATATTTTAAAGGTTTTAAGATTAGTATATCCCTTAATGGGTCAGCCTTAATGGTCATGACCACCTTTATGACAGGATAAACACAAGCTATTTTTTTAGGATGTATGTCTTACCTGGCTTAACTCTAAAGAAGCACTGGTCAACCCAGTTTTATCAGTGGTTTACCATGCATGCACAGTGGAAAGGGTACAAAGATGCATGTTCATGAGATAGTAAAGCAAAGCCTCCAAGTCTCTCTCCATTGATATACATTAGGGCTGTGCAAAGCTTCGATCCCTGATTCAATCTGGTGGAGATTCAGCCTGATTCGGTAACTGAATCTACGAATCCAAATTAAATCAGAGGCACCTTTAATCTCTCCGAATCAAATCAGCACCCTCTGAATTGATTCAGAGAGATTCAGAAAGATTTAGACCTAGACAAAGTTTTAAAGATTTTTTCTCAATACCTCTAGGTAGCAGGGGCTCATGAGTGCTGCAATCCTGGGGCACAAGGAGTGTCCCACAGAAATGTGGGAGGCTCCCCAGCATGCTCAGCAGCAGACCTGTAAGTGGACTGAAAGTACTTCCGGTACACTTCTGGGTCCTCTGGGGAGTGCACTGGGGGTGTCCCCCCGTGCCCCCCTGGTTCAGTGACTGGTGCCTTCTGGGTCTGAGCGGGGCTCCCAGGGTTCCCCGTGGCTGATCACTGAGCTGGGGGGGGCACAGGAAGGGTCCCCAGCATGCTCCCTGGCAGACCCAAAAGTGGCCTGGAAGTACTTCTGGTCCACTTCCGGGTTCACTGCTGAGCAAGTGAAGTACCACCCCCACCCCGTACTCCTGTGGGGCACTCCATCCACCCCAGCTGCACCTGCTATCTCAAGTTATGTAGAAAAAACTTTTAAAGCTGTGCCTGTGGCCAAATCGCTGATTCTCTGAATCAGCATCGAATCTTCAGATTCGGATTCGGCCGAATTGAATCAGGGACAGCGATCCAAATCAACAAATCAAACCACTGTCCCTGATTCAGGCTGAATCCGAATCGAACAGGGCCCACTTCGCACACCCCTAATATACATTAAGTAC